AGTACTATTTGTAATATTTGTAGCATAGTGTTACTATTGTTTTGGGAGAGTGTATAGAACTATTAGCACAATTTAACTCTAATAGTTAACTTATATGATCTTTATATAGAACTCAAGATATTTTAATAATAAATAAATACAATTATAGTAATAACTCAAACTCGTGAAGTTACGTAATTAATCTGTGATTGGGGCATTTAATTATATCTACTGGTAATCAATTAGGTAAATAAATCAAATTATGTAAGCATAATTAAATAAATCAGTAATATCGATAGTTAATCAATACAACCGATATTAGAAGTCGATACTTATAAGGTAATAAGATAATAGAGTAATCGGGTAATAAAGTACTAACAGCAAAATGTATAATACAATCATAAAGAGTCTTTACAGTAAAATAAGGGAATAAATACAACAATATAATGATAACTTATATAACATCAATTTAAGAAATCAATTTTTAATACTTCTATATTAAAGACAATGAAATCTAAAGCTTTATTTGAAGAGCGAAAAGACAGCTTTTTTATACTTTCAAAATATATTGAAGGCTTGCTACAAAATACATTTTTGAAGTCTAACTCTATACTTTGTTGTTCTAACGTTATCTTTCCATCCAACCTTAGCCCGTCCAGACCTATACCTTCTAAGCCGATGTTATGACTAAGCTTCTAAGCTTTTCCAGACCCAACCCCTGGGCCTCATGATAACAAACAAATAAAAAGAATCTATAGATATAATAATAAACAAAGATGACAAAAAATAATTATTTGTACAAATTTAAACCTCTAAGCCTTTGCCACAACCTAGCCTTACAGTATACACATTCTCATTACTACAAGACACAATTTTCTAATAAAAAAAATTGTGACATACCTCCCTTATTAGCTATGAGCTTCTGCAAACACCTAATCAAGCGCTAATAATTGCTCAATTTCTTTTTGACTTCCTAATCGTGCTTCTTTCAGTAATAAGTTAAAACTTTTGGTATTCATTTCTAACAAGATATTAGCAGATAAATGGCAAGTAGTCAGTAAATTATGGGCACCGTATATGTAATAAAGACTATAAACATGACAGGTAATTCTCAATACATTCTTATAACTTCAATAGGTAAATCGATTCTTCATTTCTCTTTTAACTTCTTCATTCTAATCATGCATCGCTAAT